TCATTTTATCAATTGGAAAGGCAAATTCAATAGCTCATTCAGCTCAGCCATTATCAAACGGCCCTGGCTTCTTCCCTTAATGACCTCCCCATTTCACATCAAGTCTACACCTTCTTCTCTTTGGATCATTCCCTAATTAATTAGTACCAATCATGCATCAAAAGTTATAATTGTATTTATGCTTACTAAGGGAGCATTTATCCTGGATATATAATTAGTGCTGCAATTTGGTCAGGCCCAGTGCAGATTGATCCAGCCCATTATTTTACATGGGTTGGGCCTGAGTTCTGCCCTTATGTAGCTTGAGCCCAATCCTATCTCATCCCAATTGTAGCTTGGTCTGACTATAGGCACACATATGAACAAATGTTTACATGCATACATGCATATATGCAATTTTTTTATAAACCATAGTACATATACATTTATATCAATTTTAGTGTGAACTGATTAACCAACTCAGGCCCAAATTAAATGCATCAAATTTCAGTAAAGACTAGGCCGGGATTAGATAGTTTAGACTTGGCCTCGGGCTCAATCCGGCCTTGGGCCTAATTCTTAGGATTGGACTTGAATTGAGCTAAACTTTTGGACTGAAAGATTGCTTGTGAACAAAGGGCGCAAAGGCCATACATGGAGCCCTTTTGGTACATCCCCATGTGTAAAGGCTTTCTGATTTACCTAGCGCTCTTTAGGATCCTGATACCTTTCAAATTTATAAGCAGAATGGGCTAAGGCTTGGCTAGGCCCGACCCATCCATACTAAGGCTCTGTTTGGTTCATGGGAATAGGGGTCTGGAATTGAAATCGGAATGGGCTATTCCGATTCCAACTGTTTGGTTGAATGGAATCAGAATTTCATTCTCATTCCTTCTGGAATGGCATTCCCCCATTTGAGGGAATGGCCATTCCCTACCCCTCCCTAAGGAATGAAATCCCATTTCTATTGATTTCAATTCCCATTCTTATTCCTGTCTGAACCAAACAGACTATGGGAATGAGCCATTTCGATTCTGATTCCGGTGGATTTTGATTCCAATTCCAATTCCAACTACAAACCAAACAGACCCTAAATTCTCACTTCTCACTTTGTCAAGCATATAATATACTTTGCATGTGTATTATGATTCTGACAGCATTTTTCCAACTGCTACTCCAAAGGGATAGAAACTAAAAAAAAAGAAGAAGCCTTTAGCCATCTTAAGGAATTTGGATGAGATGAACCTCCTGGTTAGAAATTAAAAATACAGAACTCAAAATGATTCAACCCTCGCATTAGATGGGACGGAACAATCCATCATTGCAGGATGAGCACCAAGATTTCTCATACATATTTATTGGGTACCATCAAACAATCCGAAAATCGGATTTGGTTCCAAATGGGTCTTCAATCCACACCCCATAAGTTCCATACACTAATAGAGCAATTCAATATAGTGGTACAAGATTCTCTCTAAAAGCCCATAAAATTGCCACCTGATATGGCAGTCTCCATTTTTTTTTTTTTTTTATTATTATTCACATCGGCCCTTCCCATCTTCCCTCTCACTATTCTTCCCTTTATCCTGTTTTCTTCTCTCCACTTTCTCCATTGTTTTGGTTGAAAACCAGAGTCGGAACTGGCGTATTTTTTATCCCTGTTTTCTTGGAAACCCAAGTTTTTTTGGGAAAAAATTTCCAATAGGTATTCTGTACTTTAGGTTGAGTGCAGTATTCAAACTCTGGAACTTTCACTTTGCAACAATTTAATACCCGGCATTAACACATTATCAGAGATATCAAAACTAACTTTTACGAAAATATACAGACCATTTTACCCATCCTGCTCATCATCTCACTATTCAACTGCTGTACCAATAGCGGCGTCAACGACATTCCTCACCTCTTCCTCTTCCTCGAACCCAACTTCTCATTGTCTTCCTCTTCACGTCCACCCCCTCCTTCTGCAGCTCTGCTCCTCCATGCTCACTACTATGGCCCCTTCTATCATTTTCCATAGATTCCTCGTCGTCTTCATGGTCGTCATCGTCATCATCGTTGTCCGTCATCTTCGCCATCGCAATCCTCTTCCTCTTCATGGCCGCTTCTAGTCCTCATCTTTAACCCCTCGGTCTCCCCCCTGCATAAGCCTTTCGATTGTCTTTGTTTATTTGATTATCTTCTTTTCTTCTTACTTTGACGATCGTCGATTCTGATGTGTTTAGTATCTCTCTCTTTTTTTTAATGCTCGATGATTGTTTAATGTTGCGGTGCAAAATTTTTATCGGCATCTTTTTTTCTCCTCTGTTTTTTGATGTCCTTCTCCTAGTTTTCTAATTAGGTGATACAGTTTGATCAATCTGATTGACCTTTAAAATGATCGGGAAAGGAACCATCTTGTTCGATCGCCGTGAAGGAGATCGACGCTGCATTTGAAGCCAAGGAATCCTCTCCGCCGCAGCATACTAGTGACGCTGAGATTGGCGAGCATATTTTCGACTTCATGTTCGTTGCGCAGGATGCTTCGACGTCATCGTTGCTCTGGGCTATGACGCTCTTGGACTCGCATCCGGATGTACTCGCGAAGGTCCGCAGAAGTTTCTATTATTTAGTGTCCAGAATCTGACACACTCATAACAATGGAGCAGTTGACGGAGATGAAATACACCCAAGCCGTGGCCACAGAAATCATTAGGTTGCGAGCCCCCGCGATGCTTGTACCGCACATCGCTAGAGAAGATTTCCAGTTGACAGAATCCTATACAATCCCGAAGGGAGCAATAGTTTTCCCATCCGTCTTCGAGTCGTCGTTCCAAGGATTCACCGATCCGAACCAGTTCTCGGAGGAGAGACAAGAAGACAGGATGTACAAGAAAAACTTCTTAGCGTTTGGTGCTGGTGCCCACCAGTGCGTTGGACAGCGCTACGCCCTGAACCACCTGGTGCTATTCATCGCCATGTTCATGTTCATTATTGATTTCAAGAGGCACAGAACAGACTGCTGTGATGACATCACGTATTTCCCCACCATCTGTCCCAAGGACGATTGTTTGGTCTACCGAGCCAAATTCAAAATGAAAGTTTGACACTGCAAGTTGGAGATCGTCCGTGAATATCATCCTAAATAATTATTTTTTAATAGGGAATTCAAAATGATGGAGTCATTTTTGTAATTTTAATAGGGAATTCATATGCATTACTCGAAATGGCTGCGGGGTATTTAGGTCTTTTTGTCTTCTAACTGATAACGAGTTAATGTTAGGTACTAGATTGTTGCAAAACGAAAGTTCGGGTACTAGATTGTCGTGTTTTAGATTCCATTTCGATGCATATGACACTACAATGCTCCTCGAACCTAAAACCCGTGATTTGCACATACCTAACACGATCAAACCCTTCCAACAGTCTCATAAGCCCAATCCATACCTACCCACCAAATTTTGTCCCAAAATTCCCTTATTTAACCCAACATCAAGCCTTGATTCCGTTTTAATGAGTTTTATTGATTAAAAGCCCATCTGTCATGAATCTCCATCATTCAAGACTTATTTGACAAATTATACCCTACCACTATGTTTAGAGACCCAAAAAATCCCATCACGTCAAATTTCACGTCCTAATTCACCCATTTGACCGTTAAACTAGGAAGGCATTATTTCGACGCACTAGATTGAATCACCACATCAACTATCCAACCTAGGATCTTAAGAGGGTGGGGACTGATGTCAGATCCTTACTTGACCTCATTAAAACACCTAACCAATGAATTTGAGCCTAATAGGCTTAAAAAGTTCAAAATACCTAAACAGACCCCCACTTGAAACTAAGAAATGACAAAATCATTTAAAAGTTCATCAAATTTATGCTTTTTGCCATTGCCAGTCCTAAATACAGGGCTGCAACGTCTAACACGCCCCAATCCCTCATTGGATGCACGAAATCCATAAGATGCATTCTAAACTCGAGAAAATTTGTTGCACCAAGAAAGAATGATCAACTGCAAGCCTTTCACTCTCAAAATCTTTGCCTATTTCAATGAAAGAGCTCTATTGAATCACAAACACTATAGCTAAACGAATTTCAATCCCATCTCCCTCCCTCTTCCTCTATAAATAGAGGCCCAACTCGAGCTTGGAGAAAGGAACAATTTCCCAACTTTTGTAATACACCCATTCTGCTTGAAATCCTGTCTTTCAAACTTAACACTAAAAATGGTTAGCTTAGCTCCGTGCCTTTCTCAAGTTTTGTTTAAAGTCCTTTTAGTTATTGGAAAGTTTGTTTCAAATGAAAACAGAACATGTACACAACCAAGAACATGTTTCTTGTGTTTTTGTTTTAAGAAACAATTCGTTTTCAAACAAGATTGTTTTGATTTGTTCCTGGAACCAGCAACAAGAAAAACAATTCACGATAACGCCCCCTAAATATGCCTTGCAGTTTGAAAAACTCATTATACATGTCTTGTACTTTAAAATTAAAAGAAAGAAGATGAAGTTCAAAAGTACCCTTCTTCTTCTTCTTCTTCTTCTTCCCATTCATGCATGGAGCTCTACCGCTGCAGCCCAATCCGCATGAAATGAAATGAAAGACAATATAAAAGACTGCAATAATCAATCACAGCTCTCATCTGATAGGGTATTAATACAAAAGATTGCAACGAAAAAAGCACATGCAGGCAATTGAAGTATTTGTATTAACCAGGAACCGATTTCACACATGAAAAATCAAGATCATGGATTCAAAACAGCAAAGCTTTTTTGCTCATTCACGACGAAAAATGAAAGGAAATCAGAAGGGCGTGCTATTAGATGTTTGTGGCAGGACAGCTACTAGTTCTGCGTAATCACTTGAGCATGATCATGAGGCACTGGTTCAGCAGTAAAATTCATGAAAAACTGGACTGCATAAAGTCTTATTTCTTATGATGATTATAATTAACAATAAATAAATAAATAAATAAATATATATATATATACATACGTATATATAACAACTGAATGGCTAATGTTTGATGTGGTTTTGGCCTCAAGACAAGGCAAAATAAAACTGAGCTCCGCCAACTAATTAATGGTGGCTGATGAGTTGGTAGGATATCTGACTCGTTGGATAGACCCATGAAGCCCCAAGAAAAAATCTGAACCAGAGCTCCACTCAACTGCTACGTACACTCAATCAACTTCCTTCAATTCCAAGCTCATAAACAAATATACAAAAATACATAAACAAGCACAGGTGTGGAACAATTATATTTCCTTCTTCTTTTCTTAGACATTATTATCAATTAAGAAGCAGCATCGTCAACGTTGCTGCGAGGGTTGCAAAATTTAAAATTTCCAGCCATGTTGGGATCAGTCAGTTTATCGGATATTCTAGCCATGTCTAAACTAAACCAAAATAGGATGAGCCGAATAGTGTGGCCCAAGAGAAGTAGTGTCATCATGATCAACCAAATGCCCAGTTGCTGATCCATCTTTTGCAACACATGCTTTGGCGTCAAGGCTAGTAAGGAAAGCAAGTAAGTGAGGGCCATGGATGTAATCGCGGCCCACAACCCCACCATCAGAATCCACATAAACAACCTATTCCTCCATGGCAATCCACTTGCCAGCAAAGCAATAGGATTATGCTTAGGGAGGCAGCAAATCCTGTTGTGTTGCAACGAAATATTTGGCGGAATCTTGCTCCATTCTTGTAGGCTAGTATGGCCTTGCCAGCTTTATGTGAGTTTGGATTGGTGTTGAGAGGATCGCCTGGAACGTCATCTTGCCACACACCACCTGGAGGTTTTACTGCCACTTGAAAAGCCATGGTGGTGATCAGTACTGCCACCACCATTAACGTTTCTCTCTTCTTCTCCATCCAGTTTCTCTTGTCCCTTTTGTTCTCTCGTTGCTCTTCTGTGCTGGCCGTATCTCTGGGCACTGATGAGATTGGCTCCATTTGCTACAACTTGGACGGCATTGTGCTGGCCTTGTAGAGCGTTTCTGATGTCCTCGTCTTTGGAGTTGTTCTTCGGACTTTGTGTGAAAATATCAAAAGCTGTGAAGGAGTTTTTATTCACAGAATCAATCTTTATTTCTGTCTTGCTAAGCAAAAATTTGATGATCTGCGCAATTTAAGCAACCCCTATCGGCCTATCCCGTTTAGGGGTTGGGGCAGGCTACCCAATTAAGCCGCATCATTGAGAATGAGACATTGACATTCTACATTCCTTGGTGCAAAGTCACTACCCACAGTAACAGCCCAAGAGGGCGATGATCATGGGCTGGGCCGAAATGGGCTTAGCATCTTGGAGGCTGGGGTTGTGGAAATCCATTCTTTCAATCGCCCTATTTTATGATTCCGGAATGGGTTGGACCAGGATGGGCTTATCATTGAAGCCCGCAAGGAGGTGGTGCTATAGGAGCACACCCGAAAACTTAGGAATGAATAATGATGACTCATTAGACGCAAAAAAAACGAAAACCTTAATCTTATTTTGTCTGAATGTTAAAGCCGATTGATTGGGCGTTCATAATTCAACGAAAGCCTGAGCACAATCATTGCATTATCCTTGTCATATGCTATTTCTAATTAAATGGACTGATTTGCTTGGAATTGGAATGAATTAGATACAGGAAACCAGAAATGTTATTGCTCCGATTAATTACAACCAATAAACTTCTTAACGGCATTTAATTTGTCAAATACTGAAAACATCTTTGTGACTTTTGTAACGAACCATCCAGTGGAATTTTCCACCTTCATCACCAAGAAAACTAAGGTCCAAAAACTTTAGATCGCCGGAAACATGGATCTGCAGCGGTGTAGATGGCCGGCAGTTGCACAGAACAAGAACTAGGTCAAGGAACAGAAACAGAGTTATAGATAGACGGCAGGTGTGTAGCAGTGACATGCCGGAGCAAAAAGGGAAAGGAAAGACATGCCGAAGCAAAAGGGGAAATTGAAAAAAAAAAAAGTCCCTCTCCTCAAGCATTGGTTTTGGCCTATGTTTTGTTCTACAACTTGTTAATTCCAGGCTTAGAATTGGGAATTTGAGACAACAAATTCCAATTGCATCTTCGCGCAAAATCAAAATCAATCCCTTCTTTTACAGGAATCTCTATACAAAAACACAAAACTATGATAATTAGAAGCCATGAATAAGATCTTACCTCAACCTGCTTGTCAGCTACGGCGAGATGCAGGACAGTATTGCCATCAGCATCCCCGACGTTTACATACTTATCGGAGTTACCCATTAAAACCAGCAGCAGCTCCAACACATTCAAACGCCCATGCTTAACACAGAGGTGTAGAATGGTCTCACCACGACCCACAAGTTCAAGAACTGTTCCAAGTTTCTTCTTAACCAGCTCTTTAGTGACATCCACTTGGCCTTCAATTGCTGCTAGATGGAGAGGAATCATTCCATCTGCATCGCGAGCAAGGCAGAGTCCAGGGCCAGAATCTTGATCTAGCAAAGCTTTCACGATTTCAAGGTGCCCTCTTGCTGATGATGCCAAGTGAAAAAGAGTATGTCCTCGTGGGTCTTTGAGGCCAGCAAGTTCAGGCTTGCAGCTCAAGAGTAATTTAGCAAAATCAACGTGACCGAGCGTTGCTGCTGTGTGCAAAGGAGACTCCCTGATACAACCCACAATCACTCTATCAAGAATTAGACTGTCTTTTTCAAGCAAACCAGACAAAGATTTTGCATTCCCTTGCAATGCTGCTTCACAAAGCTGTCTCTCTATTTTCATGCTTTCAGGAAGCCCTTCCTCCATTCTCTTGTTCTTGCTCTTGCTCTCAAGAAGCTGCGTGGATCTCCATTGATATATATGTTTATTCCTCTGGCTTCCGCCGTTGAGTGGATCAATTCAAAACTGGAAGTCACCATTCATCAGAGTCAAGTCGTTGGCTTGAATAGAAGACAGCTCGAGAGTTGTTGCTCATCTGAAACAGACAAAGCGGCTGGCAAAAAGCAATTATTAGCATCTGGGCCCATCAAATTGTCATATCTATTAAATCATCACACATTGGCGCAAAAAAGAATTATAATATTCCGATACGGTAGAAGCAATCGATATATATATACTTTCTCCTGGCCATGGCCATGGCGAGGAGCTAGCCTCGGAAAGCCAGAAGCTTCCGCACTTCAGCTCTTCTAAACAGGCAAAAAAATGAGATACAGTGATTACTGATTAGTAGCTGCTTGTGCATTGGTTGATTCCATGAAGTTTCCAAATATTCTTTCTTTCTTTCCTTCTTTGATCATTTGGGGACCCTGGTAGCAACCCAGAAGCTGTGAGGAGGTTATAAAGGAGGTAAGAAGAGAAGCTATGTATAGAAGCTTCACCCAAGGAAGAGAATACTGACACATTGGGTTCACACTCAGGAATTGAACTAGAACTCTGTCTATCTGAGATTCTATCAATCTGGCTCTATGATCAAAATCCCATTGTCCTATGTCGACTCAGAAAGTAATGAGAAAGTTCTCTAATTTGATTTTCATTTTTCGTTGCAGGATTAATAAAGGATTTCAGATTCATAAGCAGGAGTCAGTCATCTCACGGTTGGAATGAAGATCTCTGTTGGATGTTGGATGGAAGGAAACAACAACGAAGTAAAAAACAAAAGGAAACTCTTTCTATCGATCACTACTTTTGTCCACTTTTTGAATTTGAGCCCAATAGACCCTACTACACGTTTTTTAGGGTATCACCACAGACCACAACCCTTTTTTTTTCTCTCTTGAATTTGAGGCCACTGGACCCATGATTGGGAGACTTTGGCCTATATTGTTTTCATATTAATTTTTGACCATAGAGCGCCTTAAAATCTTAAATGCGGACCATCATTTTTGGGTCCCAACTTCTTGCATTCGTGAGCTTTTGGTGCAATACAAATCATTTAGCTAATGACACAAGTATTGCTTTTCTTACTATAATTTGTTGAAAGAGCTAGTGTATTGTATTAACTATTCAAAATACAAAGCCCCATGTACAAAAAGTTTCTGCACATTTATCAACAAGATCAGGAAGAACCAGAAAACCTATACACAGAGAAGTGTAACTGAATTCTCTAAAAGTTCTGCTTGCAGAGAGCTAGTTCCTGACAGAACAGAGCAAACTGGCAAAATAAGAGTTCTTTTGTTACGAGCAGCCCTAACCGAACGTGTGATGGGTCTCTGCAGGAGAGCAGACTGTCCAGAATAGGTTACCAGAGAGTCTACAAGAGGATGCTCTCGGTTAGTCTTCCCTATCTTGGCAAGAAAGTAACCAGTATTTCTGGGTTAGTTTGAGGCAACTCAGAAAAACCTCTCAAGTTAAGATAAGTTTAATGCTAGATAATGATGATGTTCACTCAAGAAAGTAATGGTATTTAACGAGTTACACCCCACAACCAAAAACAACTCCACAGATAAAAACTAACTCCTACTAACAAGAGATAATGACGAGAAAGTCGCCTTAGGCATCTACAAATTGAAAGTAGGCGTAAAAATGATAACAATAGGCCTAACAGCTTTGACTGGCCTTCCCTTGGAGCTGTTAGAATGTTTCGTGGGCCCATGCAAGGTTTGCATGTTATCCACGTGCATAGTAGGCCCGTAACAACTCTCCCCTCCTAAGGAATTCCTTTGTCCTCAAGGGAAAATTCAGGAAATTGCTGCTTCATGTGATCAACTGGTTCCCAAGTAGCCTCAGCTGGTGATAATCCACGCTAATGAATAAGAACTTCTTGATTGCCTCGCTTGACCCTTCGATCAATCACTGTTTGAGGGTATGGATGATATTCCTCTTCAAGGTGTAGATTATGGGGTAATTCTGATTGGGGAACTATGGGGCCCTATATGTTTCTTGAGTAGGAACACATGAAATACATTATGGGTTCTCGACCCTTCCGGCAGAAGTAACTTGTATGTGATTGGGCCCATTCGGCCTATGATCTAAAAAGGCCCATACAATTTTGGTGCCAATTTTATACTCCTTGTAACCACTGACTTTTTTCTATAATGGCTGTAATTTCAAGTACACCCATTCTCCCACCTCAAATTGTATATCTCTATGTTTACTATCATAGACTTTCTTCATCTTGTCATGGGCTCTGCGGAGGTGAGTTTTAAGCTCTAGCAATGTCTAATCACATTGGAACAAGGCTTCTTCAACTAAAGCATGTGCAGTTGTTCTTAGTACATATGGGATCAGTGAGGGAGCCGATTTACCATATACAACTTCAAATGGTGTGCGTTGAATAGATGAATGGTAGCTTGTATTGTAACAGAACTTAGCCCAAGCTAACCATTTAGCCCATGTGTTAGGTTGAGAGTCTACAAAACACCTTAAATACATCTCCAAAGTTCTATTGGATACCTCAGTTTGACTATCTGACTGGGGATGATAAGCTGAAGTGAAGTTGAAGCTTGTTCCCTGCAATTCAAACAACTTCTTCCAAAATGAACTCATGAATGTGGGATCCCGATCACATACTATGGTTTTGGGCATACCATGAAGTTTGAAAATATGATCAAAATAAAGTTGTGCCACTTTATAGGTTGTGTAAGGGTGGCCTAGTGGGACAAAGTGGGCATATTTGGATGAACGGTCCACTACAACTAGGATAGTAGTTTTCCCATTGGACTTAGGTAGACCCTCCACAAAGTCCATAGAGACACCGACCCATATATGCTCCGGAATTGGTAGGGGTTGGAGAAACCCCGCTGGCCTGACTTGCTCTTGCTTGTTACGTTGGTAGATGGTGCATTATCTGATGAACTTTTTCACGTGGGCTTTCATTCCCTTCCAAAAGAAAGTTGCTTCGAGTCTATTAATAGTTTTGAGGTACCTTCATGAGTAGCATTGTGGAATTGGCCCACTATGAGTGTGATCAGCTCAGAGTCTTCAGCCAAGTAAATTCTTCCTTTGAAGTATAATGCTCCTCCTCTGTATTCTCATGGCTCAACAGCTTCATTTTGCTCACATAGCCATATTAGGAATTGTTTTTGAGCGTGTTCATGCTGGTCAGATTTGACAGCTTTGATCCAATGTGGAATGGGTTGTGTTAGTGCCAATAGAGCAGGCCCATTTAGATCCTTTGGACTCTCGCCTTCATCTCTTCTGAATAATTCATCTACCACCTTGTTCTCAGCTCCTTTTTTTATATTCAATACAAAAATCAAACCCCATAAGCTTATATAACCAGCGTTGCTAGGCAGGTGTGGTTATACGTTGGTTCCATTGGTATTTTATACTCTTCTGATCTGTACGGACAGTGAAGCAATGCCCCAACAAATAATGCCACCACTTTTGTACAACTAGTATCAAGGCCAATACCTCTTTTTCATAAGTGGAGAGCAAGAGGTTCTATCCTTGGAGAGCTTGACTGATGTAAGAGATTGGTTGTCCTTGTTGCATCAGAACCGCTCCTATGCCAATTCTTGAGGCGTCACACTCCACCACAAAGGGTTGAGAAAAATCTAGAAGAGCCAATACATGAGTGTGTCATTGCTTCTTTGAGTTGAAAAAATGCATCTTCAACTGCTGCAGTCCATGAAAAAGAATTCTTTTTAAGCATCTGAGTCAATGGGCTGGCAATTTTCCCATAGGCTTCTACAAACATACGATAATATCCCGTAAGTCCTAGAAATCCACGAAGTGCCTTTGCAGATTTGGACTTGGGCTAGTTTAACATAGCATTCACCTTTTCAGGGTCAACCTCCACTCCTTTAGCACTAATAATGTGCCCCAAATACTTCACCTACATCTGTCCAAACAAACATTTTTCTTTTTTGACAGATAGCTGGTGAGCTCTTAATATAGAGAATACATGCTTCAAATGTCTCATATGTTCGCCCCAATCAAAGCTATAAACCAGAATATCATCAAAAAATACAAGAAAAAATTTCATAGTGCCCCTGATGTGTTCTGAAGGCAGTCTTAGCCACATCAGCGGGGTGCATTCTAACTTGATGATATCTAAAGTGAAGGTCTAGCTTAGAAAAATAACATGCACCATGTAACTCATCTGGTAATTCATCAACAGTAGGAATAGGGAACTTATCTTTAATGGTGATCTGATTGAGCTCCTAGTAATCTACACACATCCTCCAAGACCCATCATGCTTCTTGACAAAAAGTACAAGAGATGAATATGGACTATTGCTGGGATGAATCATGCTTGTAGCTAAAAGTTCAGCTACTATTTTTTCAATTTCAGACTTTTGATAGTGGGGGTAGCGGTAGGGTCTCATGCAGATTGGCCCCGTATATGGAAGAATGCTGATTTTGTGACCGTGGGCTCTAAGTGGGGGCAAGTTTCTGGGCTCATCAAATAAGTCTAAAAAGCTAGCTAGTAGCTCCTGCATCTAAAGAGAATCGGGCTCAGTTGAAAGGCATAATTTACCTTCTAAGGAATGCAACAAGATGCATTAATGGTTCTTCTTGATAACTCGATTATGTGTGGCATTTCTAACAAGGGGTGGTATCCCCTATAACAGCACTTCACGTCCATTAACCCAAAATTTCATGCAGAGGTTAAAGAAATCCCACATGATGAGACCAAGAGTAGAGAGCCACTAGGTCCCTAAAATCACTTCATATCCATCGATGGGTAACAAATAAAAGTCAATCTGTAAGGTAACACCTTGTAATATTAAATAAACGACAAAACATTTACCCAGGCTGACCAAGGTTTGACCATTTGCTACTGCAACCTTGAACTAACCATCCTTAGTGGGTTTTAGGCCCACTTGTTGTGCTAACTTGGTGCTGAGAAAATTATGGGTGCTCCCCGAGTCCACCAACGTAGTTATTTCTTCACCTCCCACCTTCCCTTTGACCTTCATGATGCTCCCTAGTGTGTGGCCCATAATAGCATGGAGCGAGACTTCAAGTCCATCATGGGTACATTTTCTCTCCTCTCTTTCAATTTCCATC